TCCTGTTTAGAGTATCTTAGTTTAGTGCCTTCGTAACTTTATATACACACAAACTTTTTCTGTTTATTCTGTCAATGCTTAGAGGTAATGGGTCACAGTGTTTCTCTGGGTTATAAGTAAAAACTGATACTGAGATGGGATCCACTGAAGAGCTAAATTGGATGATGCTTTAGCTGTGTTAGTTGAGTCCTGGCACACAGGGGAAAGTGTTCTCTTTGAGTTGGCTGCCTCCTCTATAAGAAGATGCTGGTTAATCAGCAGAAGTAGGACCAAAGCCAGAGGGCCGTTTAGAAATGAAAGGCAGATGTGTTTTTCTCACAGCAATTTTCAGATGAGCCAGTACCCCAGGGCTTTTTTTGTTTGTTTGTTTTTGGATCAACTGGCAATCCAAATCATAAATGGGAAACAGTTCCTTAATGTAACCCACTGGTTCTTTTGTTCAATGAATAGTTGTGATGGGCTGTGTTTGGCAATTATTTCCAGTCATCCTAAGAGAAAAGAACTCCCTTTATGTAGGAAAATGCTTCCAGGTCGTTCCTTAAGGATCTGATTGCTTCTAACATTGTCTCTAATTCAGGGGTATTTTTCTTTTCTTTTTTTGAGATAGTGTCTCACTCTGTCATCCAGGCTGGACTGCACTGGCATGATCTTGGCTTACTGCAATCTCCACCTTCCCAGGTTCAAGCAGTCCTCCCATCCAGCCTTCGGAGTAGATGGGACTACAGGCGCATGCCACCACGCCCAGCTAACTTTTTACATTTTTAAGTAGAGCCGGGGTTTTGCCATGTTGCCCAGGCTGGTCTCGAACTCCTGAGCTCAAGTGATCCACCCATCTCGGCCTCCCAAAGTGCTGGGATTGCAGGTGTGAGCCACTGTACCTGGCATGTTAAGTTACTTATACAGCATTTTTTTGTGTATTAGTTTTAAAGCTTTATTAGCTCTTTGCAAGTAGCTGGTGATGGGCTTCCTGGGCAGTTGTGGCTTTCATTTTGTGGTGCTACTGTTCCGGATGAGGACAGTATTTGCCTTGTTGGATAAGTGCTAGCTGATTGACAGTGATTTCCTGTGCTCCAGGTTCATCCTCTTTTTTTTGAGACAGAGTCTCACATTGTCACCCAGGCTGTAGGGCAGTGGCACAACCTCGGCTTGCTGCAATCTCTGTCTCCTAGGTTCAAGCAATTATCCTGCCTCAGCCTCCTGAGTAGCTGGGACTACAGGTGTGCACTGCCATGCCCAGCTAATTTTTTGTGTATTTTTAGTAGAGACAGGGTTTCACCATGTTGGCCCGAATGGTCTTTATCTCCTGACCTCGTGATCCACCCGCCTCAGCCTCCCAAAGTGCTGGGATTACAGGCGTGAGCCACCGTGCTCAGCCTCATCATTTTTTGTTTTTTTTTTCTTTTAAAATTTAAGTTCCAGTATACGTGTGCAGGACATGCAGGTCTGTTACATAGGTAAACATGTGGCATGTTGGTTTGCTGCATCTGTCAACCCATCACCTAGGTATTAAGGCCAGCATGCATAGCTATTTGTCCTGATGCTCTCCTTCCCCACTGCCACCAACAGGCCCCAGCGTATGTTGTTCTCCTCCCTGTGACCATGTGTTCTCATTGTTCAGCTCCCACCTCTGAGTGAGAACGTTCAGTGTTTGGTTTTCCCTTCCTGTGTTGTTTGCTAAGGTTAGTGGCTTCCAGCTCCATCCATGTCCCTGCAAAGGACATGATCTTGTTCTTTTTATGGCTGCATAGTATTCCATGGTATACATGTACCATGTTTTCTTTATCCAGTCTATCATCAATGGGCATTTGGGTTGATTCCATGTCTTTGTTATTGTGAATAGTGCTGCAGAGAACATACACGTGCATGTAGCTTTATAATAAAAGGATTTATATTCCTTTGGGCATATACCCAGCAATGGGATTGCTAGGTCAAATGGTATAATACTTCTGGTTCTAGGTCTTTGTGGAATCTCCATACTGTCTTCCACAATGGTTGAATGGTCGAACTAATTTACATTCCTACCAACAGTGTAAAAGCATTTCTATTTCTCCACAGCCTCACCAGCATCTGTTGTTTCTTGACCAGGCTCATCCTAGAGCATAGCAGTGTGATGGCGTGTCTTGGCTCTTAGCATGGGATTGTGCAGATTCGACTCTCCCTTTCCCTCCCATCCATTCTGGGTTACAACATCTAAAATGTTATGTGGGAGATCGTTTTATTCTCTGGGATAATGAGCATGCTGGTGTTACCTTGGCATTTAGAATCCCTCAAAGATTTGGCCCTAACTACCTCTTTATATCTCCTATTTTAAAACCACACAATCACAAGTCTTTAGACAGTTGGTGATTTATATAGCCTTTAAGCCAAAGGTGTATAGATTTAGTAAAGTATTTGAGGGTGGGGTGCCTGGGATTACTTGAACATGTTCAAACAGTGTTCTCAGTCCTGCCTGAACATTAGGATCACTTGGGGGAACTTGTAAAACTCATAAGGCTCAGGCATACCTCAAGCCAACTAAATCAAATTGGGGATGGGACCCAGGTAGTTCTAATGGGCAGCAGAGGCTGGGCGTGGCACACGTTGGAGGTAGTTGTGTTCACCACAGAGAGTGAAGTGCTGTTGGCACTAATGCTCTGCCTCAGATATGAGCCCCGATTCCATGATCTAGTCTCTGTCTTTGCTCACACCCTATGAGTCCCACCTAGAACATCCTTTCCTTGTCCTTCAGTGACTCAAATCCATCTCCCTCCCCTGTGCCGTGTCTGTTTGCCAGATTTCCAAATACACTTTCCAATTTAGAATGATTTCTGTGCATTCTTAACTGAAAAAAATACAGCACTTTTCTAGTGGATACCAAATAGTGACATATGTAGTTTTTTTCTGTATCATCTTAATATCTGTAAGATAGTATAGATATATTTAATGTCTATAATAAATAGGCCAGTCACCTCCCTCAAAAACATGTAAGTTCATGTGAAAATCTTTTTGGGATGTTTGGCTAACAGTATTTCTTACTTAAATGTAAGTTTTAATTTTTGTTTTAAATTCAGATCCTTTTGCTTTTAACTCTAGTCTATTTTAGGCCATGGATTTCTTTGGAAATCTGGTGCAAGCTACAGACCATCTCTCAGAAGAGTGCTTATACAAACACATGCTCTGTTTTACATTCAGGCAGTGGGTGCTGGAACCCCTCTAAAGCCTGTCCACAGACATGTGGTGAGCTCTGTTTGATCTGTTTCTTCTTAGCAGACAGATGGCTATGCTAATTAGCTTGATTCGATAATTCCACAAGGTATGCGTGTATTGAAACACCACATTGCAACCCATAAATATATAAATTTATACAATTATTATTTGTTAATTTTAAATAACACACCTAAGAAATGTGCCTACCTCCCCAGAATGTTATGAGGAAAGGGATTTTTTAAATGGAGTGGGAAGGAAGGTAATGTGGGAGAGATCTTTTCTTAGGAGCTGCAGTGTGAGTGGCGCCTTCTAACAACAGGATAACATTTGACTTGAGGGGATGGGACCAAATGACAGGTAAGGGCACCTGAGTTTCCTCCCTCCCCTATCCTGTCCTGGACATGGTTGTGGGTGAACTGCCTGGTGGGATTCTTGTGACTAAGCAGGCAGAGTTAATAGCTCACATGACCACTAGATGTCACCGCAACACCAATTAGTTTTCTGGCCTTTGTCACTCCTGTGCCTGAGCCCAGATTAGGACAGCACGAAAGCTGTAGTCACTTCCAGTCAGGGACCTAATTCTGCCAAACGTCTGCAGGATTTGTCTTGTCTTTTTTTTTTTTTCCTTAAATACAAAGAAGACCTAAAGAGTGGATAAGTGTATATTCATTATAAATAAATGGAAAGAAAAAGAAAAGACAAGTGAGGTGGGTTAAGTGAGGAGTGGGATCTGATTCGTGTTTTCTCCTGGAAGTGAGACTTTCTTGGGGAGAGTTTTTCTGTCTCTGGGAGGAGGGATGTTGGCTGGATGGGTATTTCAGGCTTCTGAATGGACAAGTTTTAATATTATGTTGCTCACTTTACTGATATTACAATATACATTTCAAGCCAATTATGACTGTCCTTTGAATAAAAATGTTAATTTAATGTGCTATAATTTAACATCAGGGCATTTTTCTTGGTCTAGGTATATTTTTTTAAAGTTTTCCTATTTTTCTTGCAGTTCAGCCAAGTCTGTCACCTTGGCAGGCAATAGCTCGCTTGGTTTTATGACCACACATTACATATCTGGCCCCAGTCAAATCATTTGTAAATGTAGACATTTTGGCAAAAAGTATCAAAAGTCTATTGATTTAAAACCAATTTGTGTCAGTATCTCCTTCAACACTAAGAATGTATTAACATTGCATTTTATTATTTAAAAATGAATATAATGGATACATTCTTGCTTCAGGGTAGTGCAATTATATCAATAATTCAAAAATTATTGATATATGCTGACTAGTTCTGTTTTGGAGTATGTGACAACTGAATGTAAAATTAGTTCATTTCATCCTTTTTTGATTCTTTGGTTTTGAAAAATGTCCTTGGGAGTAGATAAGTTTAGCAGGAAAGTTCACCTACTCCACTTATCCAAATGTTATGAAATTTCTTTTAGTGAATATGGCACTGTTGACACCACCTAAGTCACAAAAACGGGTCTCTAGGGAGGAAATGACTCAATATGTTTAATACAGGTTTCCCCGCTAAGCCTCAACTCAGGGAAGTCCTGTTGGTTTTGGGAAGTGAGCAGCATTTCTCTATGTGGTTTAAAAAGACCACACAAAAAAGACAGAAAATGAAGTGGGAAAACAAGATTCTTTAAGTCTATTTTAGAATCCTTATTGGGTCTAGAATGCCATCCTCTGTTGAAAGTATTCACTTAGAAATGTGGGCCTTGAGAGCTGGGGAAATAAGCCTTGTGTGATACTCACTGGGTAGTTTGGACCACCAGGCCTGCTTCTGAAGACCACTGATGTTTTTGTCTCCTACAGGTGCACAGCTTTAAGGGCTACTGGGAAACATTGAACTCCAACCTAGAAAATGTCAAGTATGCAAAGCCACACTTCCACTATAACAACAGTGTGGTCAGGAGAGAGTGGCACAACCTGATCTCTGAAGAGGTATGAGTGGGTCAGTGAGAACAAAGCCAGCAGCCAGGCATAGGGGGCTGGATCCAGGCAATGCCCTTAAATCATAAGACTGGCTTCCATGTGCACCCCTCTTCCCAGTTGCCAGGGACTTGAACATTGTCACTACTGATCTCAATAGGTGGAGGTGCTTCTACGATCTCTGTTCTCCCAGGGAGGAAACTGAAGGGCAGAAGGGTTAAGGGATACACCACGCATTCATAGTAGAAGTACGATTAATATCCACGTCTCAGCTGTGTTCCCAGGTTACTTAATTAGTTAAAATTTGATTTAAAAAAATCTAGATGTTCCCAAATTAGTGGTCATTAGGGGTTGGGGATAGTTGGAGGGAGAAAAGTGAATGTGACTATCCAGGGGTGACATGGAAATCTTTGGTGGTGATCAAAGAATTCTGTATCTTGATTGTGGTGGTACGTTGGGAGATGAATCTAAACGTGATAAAATGACATAGAATGACACACATACATTGTGCCAATGTCAATTTTGCTTTTGATACTGTGCTCTAGTTATGTGAAATAGAAGCACTGGAGGAGACCGGGTGGAGGGTACGTTGGATCTCTCTCTGTAGTATCGCTGAATGTAGATTAGCGTTGTGTATAGTTTATAGTTGACTCATAGTTTTCTGTGAATCTGTCATTGCTTTAGAATAAAAGTTTCTTTAAAAAAAGGTGTTCCAATTATCTGGAAAGTATATTTCTTCTCTCTGATGTTCTTAACTGTATTGCATTATATCTTTGATGTGAAAAGTCACCCATTAAAACCTTTACCTTCCGCATTCCTGATGTATTCTCACTCATAGAAAACAGGAAAAAGAAGGTCCACGGCATATGTGAGGAATATTCTTGATAATGCGATAAAGTAAGTGAAATTAGAGGGTATAGTATAGTAAGATGATTAACAGTTAGAATTACTTTATTTTGTTGGCTGCCTTTTATAGAAATCGCTTACTTTGTTGCATAGCCCCAGCATAATGATATTGTCAGCTTCATGCATGCAGCCACTTGGATCCTATTCTGGAATTTGGTGCTGGAATTTCTAGTGGGAAAAGCTTATATATTAAACCTTGTAGACTTGTAACCTGTGGATAGATGTTTGCAATGGATACGTAGTAAATTTCCTGTTAGTGAGCATTTTAGGAGAGAACGGCAAATAGTAGGTTGACTTTTTTTTTTTTTTTTTTTTTTTAAGTGTCAGTGGGCTAGTGAGCTTGCTCTTATTTTGAAAGCCCATTTTTGGGATACATGAGTCATTTCAGAGTGCTAAAAGTATAGGCTCTGTTCCAACCTGTGTTCCATTTTCTCTCCCCATTATTTTCAATAACTGAGAGCTACAATTGTTCTAAATTATTGTCGTTGTTGGCACTAAAGGGTTTTGAGATTTTATGATTGCCTAATGTGCTTTTTAATACACTGATCAAAGCTTTTGAGGTTTCAACAGCCTGAGAATAGTTTCCACAGTGGTTTTTATGAAATTTTAAAGGAGGATATCTTTGTATGATGTGGCTTTAAATTTTTTAAAAGCAGTGCTCTGTGAATAACATGGCTAATTTCTTCATAGGGTGATCTCTAACCTAGAAGCAAGAAATTTGGGTAAGAAAAGATCTGTAATAAAGCCTTCTTGGTTTCAGTCCGTGTTCTGTTTGTAGTGCTGTTCTTCCTACCACTGTGGGTTGGCAAGAAAATCACTTCCAGTAGTGTGGAAGTGATTTCCTTTAATATCTTCCTCTTAGAGTGGCCGCACAGCTCTTCCCATGTCTGTCTGGGTGCCGGGACCTCTGGGGACAGTTGCTGAATGTGCTTTTGCTGTGGGAGTCCCTGGGTGATGGCCCTGTGGTTCTCTTTATTGCCCTCTGGCTGTGCCCACAGGATGCATTTTAGCAATTCCCTTGGCTTGGCACTGCTTGCTTTCCAGCTGTCTGATCCTGCTGGGTCTTGCCTTGTATGTGCCTCTCATTTTGGTTAAAAGTTGGGCACACAGGTCCTAGAGGCATAAAGATGTGGTTCTGGGGAAAGAGCACAGGCTTGAGAGCTAGACAGAGCTGGACTTCGATTCCAGCATGGCCACATGAGAACCATGTGCTCCTGGGCAAGTCACTTATCCATTTTGTGCATTGTCCTGCTCATGGGAGTGAGGAGAAAATGATGCTAACTGGGTAATGCAGATAGCACCTAGCACAGTGCTTAGTGCATGCGGGTATCTGAGGTGGCTGCTTTATCCTTAGTGTGTAAGGAAGAAATGTTAATGTGTGCCTTCTACACCAAATGACAGGTATTATGTGACCCGTGGATGCAGAGAGTGAGAGGATAGATCAGGAGCAGGGATGGCTGGAGGAGGGAGGGAGGTTGGAAGAGGCTCCCCGCAGGGTTGACATGTGAATTAAGTCTTGATAAACAAGGAGGACTTGGCCAGGTGAAACCAGGGGAGGAGAATGCTGAGCATATTCAGGCACAGGCTTATTTGTAGTTGCCAAAAGAACACTTTCATGCCTTCTGAAGGTCAGCCTTCATTAAATAAGCTGCTGTTTTTATATCCCACTCGTGTTTTATGGGTTTGGATGTTGGGTGACTGTAATGGAAACTAGTTTACACAGTGCATTGTTGCATATCCTGCAGCTGTGCACACAGCCCAGTGAACTGTGACAGCGCACCTGTCATCCAGCTCAGGCTGACAGAACCTGGGCTCACTGAGCAGCCGGGAGGAATCAGCCTCTGCCTTACCAGGCCATCCATGACTGAAGCTTGGGGCATGCATGCGTGTGATTCAGGCTTACCGTCCTTGCATTGCTGGGGGTTTTGCAACACGGGGAATGTTGCTGGTCTGGTCGAGGTTCCTGCCCTGCTTATGGAGTTACTCTGTGTGTCAGGGCCGTTTGCATTCTGTTAACTAGTCAGTCTCTCTTAACGCACTTTAGGAAAACTCTTCCCTTTCCTTACACGTGCTTTGTTCCCCATGTACACATGTACACGTGTACTAGTTCCCCATGAAGAATGTCACTGCCTGAAACCGAACGTTCTGTGAAATGCAGGGCTGTTGGATTCACATTTTAAATTGTTTCATATCAATCATGGGGGTTGTGTAGGATCCAGGAAGGATTTATTATAGGTGGTCAGGAGATATCCATGCCCTCCCAGAAGGAGTTGCCAGCCCACTGAGCAGGGCGGCTCTGCCCTCTTGCCTGGCACTGGATCTCAAGTATTTAAGGAAAAAAGAATTGAAAAAAAAAAAAAAAAAAGATCAAGGGACAACTTTCTCCCCCTCCCCCCCCCCCAAAAAAAGAATTGAATACGAAGATGTTAGAAGCGCTTTGGGTTAGATTTTTCAGCAAGACTGGGTTTACCTGCCCCTGGAGCTACTACACTCTAGTGTAAATTGCTTGTGCATTGCAAATCATGGTGGAGAAAGTACGATTTGATTTAACTTATTACTTTTCCACTGGGTCCTAGCTACCTTTACAGTCTGAAAACTTGTGCCAGTTAGTATTACTTGCCACAGTAATTGACTGGTCCCCTCAGCTCAGTAACTCCCAAAGCCACTGAACTACCGGGGTCATAAAGTAGAAGGGAGCCATGCAACTCCCTTCCACCTAGCCCCAGTCTCTCAGTTTATGACCCTAGAAGGGTTAAGAGAAGGCCCAAGTCCCTCTGTTTCCAGTGGAGCAGAGGTTCTTAGCAGTGAGTTTTAGTGTTGAGCAAAAAGCAAAGTTAGAGCCTACTGGGGTGGGTTGAGGAATGTGTTGTTTACTCGGTCATTCCTCATGTGTTCACATTCCTTTCTGTGTCAACTCAGTGATAATTCAGCTTGTAGGACTAGGTCACACTTAGGTGATAAAAACTTTTCATCCTGTCAGGGAAGTGTTGTGTTTTCTCAATGACTCAGAGAAGGGAAACCCAGGCTGATTATTCTCTGTCCTAATCCATCTCCTGAAAACTGCTCAGAGCTTGACTGTTGCTCTGTTTCCTTTCAGAGCCAAGATTGACGCCCCTCCTGCAGGAGGAGGACAGCCACCAGCGGCTGCTCATGGGGCTGGTAAGTGGTATGTGGGTTCTTTAGGGGCTGGCAAACAAGGGACCCTAAGATGAGGGGAAAAGACTAAAGTGGGCTTCTCATTCTGATCTTATTCTTTATTCTTTAAACAAATACTTTTTGCCAGCATTATGGACCCTGTGTGTCCAGTGGTAAGCAAGCCATATGATTTTTGCCCTCTTGGAATATGTAGTCAAGGGAGAAGACACACATGAATCATATGAATACATATGTAATTTACAAACCATTATAAGGAGTGTATACCATTGAGGATGCTTTAAAAAAGGAAAAAGCTGCATCTTTGTGGCATTTGTATTTGGGGTTTAAAATACAACAGAACAGGCCAGGCACAGTGGCTCATGCCTGTAAGCCCAACACTTTGGGAAGCCAAGGCAGGTGTATCACCTGAGGTTAGGAGTTCGAGACCAGCCTGGGCAATGTGGTGAGACCCTGTCTCTTCTGAAAATACAAAAATTAGCCAGACATGATGGTGTACACCTGTAATCCCAGCTACTCAGGAGGCTGAGGCAGGAGAATCACTTGAACCCAAGAAGTGGAGGTTGCAGTGAGCCAAGATTGCACCACTGCACTCCAGCTTGGGTGAGAGAGGGAGACTCCATCTCAAACAAAACAAAACAAAAAACAACAAAATACTTTCTTTCAAGTAGTCATAATACTACTTGAGACCAAAGAAACAGACATAAATTAATTGAAAAGCAGAATTTGTAAATAAATCCAAAACCTTTAAAAAGCTGATTAAAGAGACATCGTGGAAGTCTAATAACATATTTTTAATACCATGTGGATTTAAGAATAGGATATTTATTAGTTTAGATATGGCAACAATAATAAAAGAAAAATATCACATATACAAGAAGAGAATAATTATAGTACTTTTATAAAATTAAATATTGTACACCCATTAAAATAGTATGGCAAACATAGCCAGGCACAGTGGCTCACACATGTTATCCCAGCACTTTGGGAGGCTGAGGTGGGTGTATCACCTGAGGTCAGGAGTTCAAGACCAGCCTGGCCAATATGGTGAAACCCCATCTCTACTAAAAATATAAAAATTAGCTGGGTATGGTAGCGTGCCCCTATAATCCCAGCTACTAGGGAGGCTGAGGCACGAGAATTTCTTGAACTCGGGAGACGGAGATTGCAGTGAGCTGAGATCGCACCACTGCATTCCAGCCTGGGCGACAGAGCAAGACTGTCAAAAAAAAAAAAAAAGTATGGAAAACAATGTTTATATGACAAATATACGAGATTAGAATGGGTGTGCATACCAGGAAAAAGAAAAAAAATAATCCCCAATTGTTAATGTGGGTGGTAGGATTATGGTTGATTTTAATTTTTATCTTCATGGAAAAATCGAAAAGCACAAAGTATGCACTATTTATTATACAAAAAACATCTTTTATTTAAAGTCAAATTAATTGGCACATGCATGAGAATGAATTGAAATAAGGTACCACTATGTCTTGGCCCTGAAGGTTGTGGACTAGTTTTTACTTGGGGTATTGTGATGTGAATCTGCTAAAATAGAAGATGTGTGCATGGGTGACAGAAGCTGTACAACTCCCTTGGGCTGTTTATTGGCACAAACATTGTCCTGGCATCTTGCTCTTGCTGAATAAGATGTCTAGGCAAAAGAGAGAAGAGGAGGGAGAAAAGCAAAGGTGGGGAGGGCTGGGAATGCTAATGGTTGGCCAAGTGGGGAGGCCCAAGGATGGTCAAAGTGAGTATAGAAACAAGCCTATTTGGAGACAAGGGCTGTGTTGAGGGTCTGTGGCCACTGTGTAGAGGGAAGTACCTGATTATTTCCCATTTACTCATGCCTCTGTCCTTCCAAACACCCAAAACTGTTGCCCACATTGGCTCAGTCATTCTATGTATAGAGTTGTTTCTGTTAATCCCCAAGGGCTTCAGGAGCAGTAGACTTCAATCCTTTGGTAGATCCCAAAGCCTGTGACTTCTAAATTGGTGACTTTCACTTTTGTCTTTGGAGGATTCTCATCAGAGTTAGAGCCTTACTCCCAATTGCTCACTGGGCTTTGGGTGAATCATAAGTATTACTTTTTTTTGGCCAATGTTGGGGACCCCTTTTTTATGCTCACCAGAGAACTATTGAGAGTCACACATTTCTGTTGCTGGGACCTTCAGATCCAATATTTTTATATTGATCAGGAATATTAATAAGTGGATCTAATTCAAACTAAGCAGGTATGAATGGATAGGCTGTGACTTATCTAATGCATATGCTGTTTTCAGATGGTGTCTGAGCTAAGAGACCATTTTTTGAGACACCTGCAGGGTGTAGAAAAGAAGAAAATTGAACAGATGGTTTTGGACTACATTTCAAAACTGGTTGGTCTTGCTTTTTGTTCTCTTTGTACCCCCCTTCACCCCACTCCCCATATAGTTGTCAAGTTGTGGTTCAGTGAACCCATTTGTGTGTTTTTCAAACTAGATTTTTGGAGATCTCCTGTTCTTAAATCAGTATTTGGTGCTATGGATTGACAAAAGAGAAATAAGGACCATAAGCAAAGAGCATTTGGTCTGGAAAGTGGTTTATTGCCCTGCCTTCAAACAATGATTATACACCCATGGTAGCCTAGGACAGTGAATTTAGTATGGTTGCCAGATGCTGATAATCTCATCTTGGAAACTTCCAGCTCCTTACTAAACAGTAAGTGATGATTTCTCTACATGGAGGTTTATGCAGACATGAGATAACTTGAACCTTAAATCTTAATTAGTTCCAGTGGCCCAACTAGGCCAGATTCTAGGTCACTTGTATGAATACTGCCACATGAGACTGAGATTAGCAGTTCCTTACCTGGTAGCCACTCACTGAAATTTTGTGACCCAGATTAGTAACACCACTCTGTGTGTAAATAGCAGTAGTATGACCAGATTGAATTTTAAGGCTGTCTTGAGTCTTTCAAAAAGCATATAGAGTTGAGGCCTGATCTTGCTCAGAATCTAAAATAATTCAAATTCAAAAAACATTTGCACAGAAAGAAAGAACACTCCCTTATTTCTCCCAATGTGTGTAAAACCAGCATGCAGATAAACCAGGGAGTGAACATATATTTTTCCATTGAACTCTGGAAGATTTGTTAAATGTATTAGATATAATCCTGACTTAATTATTTCAGGTTTAATTTTCAAGTTTTCTGCCTTTATTGCAGTCATTAGTGTTGCTTCTACATGATATATTTGAATTTCTATACTAAGGTTTGAGTTTCATAGTTTTTAATATATTAGGAGAGGTTAGTATTCTTATGTACTTATATTTATCATCAGGACATTCAATCTTTCTTAAGTCTACTTCTCAATAGAACTGTACCAAGGAGCTCACTTTATGAATGTGTTACTGATCGATCCTCCCCATGTTGACATTAACTTGCTTTATTTTTTTCTTAAACTCACAACACACAGTAATTTAACACATCTACCTGTCACCGTTATTTCTGTTGACTCAAAATCTTACCTCCTATAGTGCTAAGAAGGGTTTCCATTCAAGCCTCATTTTTCTCCATAATTACTTAAGTTTTAACACTAGTTTGTGTTAACAGCCTGTAGAACCAATAGGCCCAGAAATGATACATATGAAGTTTCAGAAAACTCACATCCCCGACTTTGACTCAGCAGTCACTGATTAAGGCCACATCTCTCTGTCCCTTCCCAGCAACCACTAGTCATGCCTTTTGCTTCCCTCTAAGGAGAGCGGTGGGTATCCTTTCTAAAACATATCCATGACGTTGCTGCAGAACCTGATTATATTGGTTACATGTTAACTTACTTGATTTCAGCCAAAGAGAAACTAAGGGTCTGTATCAATGAGGATAGCATTTGCCTGTGAGTCTATGAAGAGCCTTCTGCTTTGCCCCCTGTTCTTGGTGCACACAATGTGTGGATTCATGGCTGATAACAGCTCCATGAGGACTACTCTTCTGCTGGCAAACGTGTTGCAGAGTTAGAACGGGTTTTTGGATAAAGCTCTAAGACAAAGAAGGCTACCTAATTTGGTTGATTAGTTTTAGTCAGTGTGCTAACCAATTCTTACAACAACCCAATTAAATATTTCCTCTCATTTTACACGTGAGGACACTGCAGTTTGGAGAATGTGTGTAACTTGCGTAGGGTTACACAACTACGAACATATAGAATCTGGACTTGATACCAGTTTTACTCCACAGTTCATGCTCATGACCTCCATTCTGTGTCTCTTTTCTTCTGTCCGCTGTTGACCCTTGCATTGTGACAGGCCTAGAACAAACCCTGTGGCACTTGACCTTCACTGATGGATGAGGGTCTGTAAGTGTGAGTGGTGGGGCCAGTTAGCTGGGCTGGGGAGGCTGAGCCAGAGCACTGGCCGCACAGACAGAGGATGCTCTGTTACATTCTGGTGCACATTTTCAGTCTTTCCATTTGGGGTTCAGTGCTTCAGAATTGACCTCGGAAAGGCTAGCTGTGTTTCTGGGCACAGCCTGAATGCCAGCTGCCCTGAATGCTTATCTGAGCTGTGGGGACCTAGCTGTGAGGGAAGGAATGAAGTAATGATTAATGGACTGTCTTCACCCTCCAGCTGGATCTCATTTGCCACATCCTAGAAGCCAGTTGGAGGAAACATAATCTTCATTCCTGGGTTTTCCACTTGTACGCAAGTATTTCTCGCTTTTACCATGGTGTACAAAGAGTAGAAATAACTCTGTTTTAGTAAAACCCTTTTGAAATGTACTAGCTCAAATCAGTTCTCACCAGCTTCAACACCATCTAGCTTAATTTTATACTCAGCACTTAAAGTTATGTCCCCCTGCATGTGTACCCTTTAATGTATAAAAATTAAAAGTATGCCCCTGTTACTCTACCCACCATCTTTCCCTGGCACATGCTTGGTGATGAGGGAGGGACAAATGAGCCCAATACTTCCAAGAAGGCAACTGTACACTTGGTACAGTGTATAACATATGTGCCTACTCTCTCATTAAATTCTAGGCATTAGACTGATGGTCACAGTCATTTATGGGGCTATCTGCAGGGCACAACATTTCGTGATTAGCGTGAACCCCTGTGTAGTGCTCAAAGCCACTGCTTAGGGGTGTCACAGATGACCTCCTTGGCTGACATGCTTGCTGCTTTTTTTTTTTTTTTTTTTTTTAAACCCAGCAATAGTCGTGGCAGTGCTGCTGAATTTGCAGTTTTTCATATCATGACCAGGATTTTGGAAGCTACAAACAGTTTGTTTTTACCTCTGCCTCCTGGTAAGTGTTGGCTCTTTTGTCCTTTGGTGTAATAAATTTATTTCTTCTTCATATGGGCCCTTGTCCTTGGTACATTATAAGTTTGATGATGAGACTTGTATATGAGAAATTGTGTGTCTGGTATCTCTGTGAGTGATGGGCCCTTAGGTTGGTCTCTGCTGACCAGAGCTCCTCTGACTACTAAACTATGCTGTAGCTTATTACTAACTTTAGGGAACCTAGGCTTAACATCATGCAGCTTTCTAGGATAATCTGAACCAGCAGAACTAATTTATAGAGCTCTATCTCTGATGTCTCCAGGCCTAGTTTATCTGATTGAGATATCTGAAGGTGAACACTAGAAGTGGGTCTGGCTCAATGCCAAGAATTGAACTGATTCTTATGCATTTGGAAGGTAAAAATTTCCCCTTAGAATTTTTAAATAGGATCAAGTCAGGCCACAAAACACCCTTGGAAGATGTATATGCCTTCAGTCATTTAATTGGTCATGAGTTCATTTAGTCGACAGACATTTGTTGAGCAACTATGACATGAGAGGTAATGTGCTAGAAATTAGAGCACAAAGATTAGGAAGAGACTAGTTGGGATGTACACAGAAATCAGTATCCATTATGAGAAATAAGCCCATTAGCTATAAATTGTCTTGTGCTCATTATGTATGAATTCAGTTTTTATTGTGTAACAACACTTAACTTGAGACCTACCCCCTTAACAAATTTTTAAATGCACAATACAGTATTGTTAAATATAGGTACAATGTTGTAGAGCAGATCTTTAGAACTTACTCATCTTTGACAGCTGAAACTTTATACCTGTTGAACAGCAATTCCCTGTCTCCCTATTCCCCAGCTACTTGGCAAGCACTGTTCTACCCTCTGTGTCTAAGAGTCTGACTACTTTAGATACCATATGTAAGTGGAATCATTCAGTATTTGCCCTTCTGTGACTGGCTTGCTTCACTGAGCATAATGACCTGCAGCTTCATCCATGTTGTCACATGGAGCAGGATTTCATTTTTTAAGACTGAGTAATAGTCCATTGTATATTCTACATTTTCTTCATCTGTCAGTGGACATTTAGGTTGTTTCCCTATCTTGGCTATTGTGAATAATGTTGTGATAACCATGGGAGTATATACATATCTCTTCAGGATCCTGATTTCAATTCTTAGGGATATTTACCCAGAAATGAGATTACTGGATCGTATATATATATATTTTTTTTTAATTTTTTGAGGAACCTCTGTACCATTTGCCACAGTGGCTATACCACTTTATATTCCCACCAATAGTGTGTAGGGTCCAATTTCTCCACATTCTTGACAACACTTAGGTTGTGGGTCTTTGCTAATAGCCAGTCTGAGAAATGTGAGGTGACATATCACTGTGGTTTTGATTTGCATTTCCCTGATGATTAGTGACGTTGAGCATATTTTTGTGTAAGTGTTGGCCATTTGTCTGTAATCTTTGGAGAAGTGTCTGTTCAAGTCCCTTGCTCATTTTTAAATCCAGTTGTTTCGTTGCTATTGAGGTTTGCGTTCTTTATATGTTTTTAGAAATTAACTCCTTATTAGATATATGGTTTGCAGACATTTTTTGTCATCCTGTAGGTTTTGCCCTTACTCTCTGGATTGTTTCCCTTGCTATGCAAAAACCTTTTTGTCTGGTGTAGTCCCACTTACATATTTTTGCTTTCATTGTTTGTGCTTTGGATGTCATATTCAAGGAATCATTGCCAAGACCAATGTCAAGAAGATTTCCCTCTATGTTTCTTCTAGGGGGTTTCTCAGTTTCGGGTCTTATGTTTAACATTATAATGCATTTTGAGTTGAATTTTGTTTATGGTTAAGATAAAGGTCCCATTTCATTCTTGTGCACATGGACAGTCAGCTTTTCCAACACCATTTATCAGAGATGTGATCCTTTCCCCATTATGTGTTCTTGGTGCTTTTGAAGATTAGCTGCCTGTATACGAATGGGTGTATTATTGCATATAAGTTCTAATGAATGTTAAACTTTGATTGCTGTAATTACATATCAGCTGAGTTTTAGTTACTTCATATATATCCATCCATTCATCATTAGTTCATTTTAGGCCAACATATATATGATAACCATTTTGTGCCAGGTACTGTTTAAAGTACACACAAATTCACACACTTAATTTTCATAACATTCATAACTGGTAGAAACTTAAATTGGACCACATTAAATTGTCAGTATCCCACTATTTTTTAGCCAGCAAAAATGGCACATGTAGTTCAACTTAACATTATTCCCATTTTATAGATGGTGAAACTGAGGCCAGAAAGATTAAGTAATTTGCCTAAAGTCACATGGCTATTAAGTGTCAGAGCTGATATTCAAATCCAGGCAGTCTGACTCCAAAATCCATGCTGCTTCTTGAATTTTATATTCCAGTTGAATTAGTTGATGTTGAAACATGGGCTATTTATTTATATTATGGGCCCTACAGTGTATGCTTTTCTGTATCTATGATATATCTGATATGGTTTGGAATCCTCCTTTCTTCCTCCATCCATCACCTTATTTAATGTCTCTCGGTAGCAGCAGTACAAAAGGAGTTGAAAGTGACCATTCATGAGGGGAATGGATGGTTTAAAATTATCCCAATGGAATATGAGTTATAAGGTATACCCTAGAAAGAGAAGGATTTTATGAAAACTACTTTTGTGGGTTAAATTCTTAATTGTTGTTAACACAAAAAAATTGGTAGGGAAATGGATGGACAGTTTCAGATTTGTTTATTATGGATATTCAGGCTCCTTTTGCAAATAAATGAAACTGACTTAATGTGGACATTTTTATGCCTGGAGATCATAAAATCCACTTCCTACCCAGCTCACATTCCTTCACAGGGATAAGGAAGGGAAATGTTATCCATAGTGATCAAGAATTATTGTAAGTAGACTTAGGGTTTGTGTCTGTGGATTAGGTAAGGAAAAACTGTTTCTCTCTCCTTTGCTCTTAAATATTTATTTCAATTATGTGACATGGAAATATAGTGGGGAGGTGACACTGGATAATGGATGTGCATGTGCATGCCTGTGTGTATGAATTCAGGGTGTTTCTACATGCACATGTGTAAGTGTGCTTGCTTTCCAGGCCTATTGGACTAATGAGGACTATTTGAGTTACAAGTGTCAGAGGCTTGTAAAGTGAATTGGTTAAAGTTAGGAGGACCACAAGAAGGATGTCATGGTTTAGAGCTAGGGCATTTGCTTTTAATAAAAGGAACTGTATTGCACTTGCTGGCTAGAGGAGGCCAGGAGCCCTGGAAGATGAGGACTAAAGTTGGGTGGAGCTGATGACTAATTATAGCCAATTTGCTCTGTTGCTCAGAGTTGATGTACAGAGGCCAAGAACAGGTCCCTGAACTTGAGACTGTGCCCTGGGGATAGAGGATGAAGAGTCATCAGGAATCTTTAGGATATGAACACAGGGCTGGAGAGGGAAATTTGAATCCAGAAAATTAATAGGATCAATAATCTAGTGTAAACTTTTCATCAGAAATAATTTTGTCACTTTCTTTTACTAATAGTTTCGTGAAGAATTTCTAAATCCATTTGAAAAAATCTTGTTGTTAATTAACTAGTAAAATAGTGGAGTATTTTTGGACTCAGGGAAGCTAGTGCACTTATCCTGTTGTCAACCCATTAAAACATGGGCAGAGCCTGTACTTCATCTGACCCTTGATGTTACAAGGACTTAGCCCCATGGCTTGTGATTCATGTGTTTAGAGAAAATCCCATGATTTCTCTGAATCCAAGCCCTGCTCATTGGGCATTGGGCATCATCCTTCTGTCATGTATCTTCCCAAAGTAGGCTATGATTCTTCTGTCATTCCCACATTCAAGCAGTTGCAAAGCCTGTACATGTTACCAGGTCTCCTTGATTCAGTGCCTCCATTACCTCTTATCCATGTTCAGGCAATAGCTTCTCTATAGTTCTTCATATCTCTGTAGCAAATTGTTACTTCAGCTCATTCTTTGCCTGTTGCCTGCCATATTAATGTCCCAATGATAAATCTTCTTTCTGTCCTGCTTAAAAACTTTTATTGCCTCCCCAAAAGTCTCTCAAATTAATAGATTCCTGTCATTAAGCATTCAAGCCCTGTCGCCTGCACTCATAGCATACAACTAGCCACATTTTAAAAAATGTATAATTATTTTTTATAATTGTCTGCCTCCCCCACCAGACTGCAAGGTGTACAGAAGCAGCAATTTTGCCTATTTTGCTTATTTTTGTATTCCTAGCCCCTTGCCAGGTGTGTGGAAGGTATGTGCTGAGTAAATTAGCATTTCCAACCTTAACTCTTAATCATTCTCCTCTAATATGATTCCAACCCAGCTAAATCATTTACTATTTTCTGAATGTGCCCTATGCTTTCTCATCTTTGGGCCTCTGTTCATGTTCTATTAACAGCTGTGAATTAGTAACAGTGATGTTATAGTTAAAAGCCTGTGCTATGATCATACAATTGATGCAAATTTCAATCTCCAACTTACTATTTATATGATCATGGGCAACTTTCTTAGCTCCTGTGAATCTTGGCTTTCGGCTTTTCCATTTATGAAACGGGAATCTGGTAATTCCCACCTCGTAGTTTTGTATGAGGATCAAATGAGCCAGTGCACAGCTTGAAAGCCTTAGTACATGTCCAGAATGGGTTGCTATTGTTACATTTCATGCTAGGCTCTTCATAGACCTGGCTCTAGTTCTCAAAGGAATATGAAAACTAGAGAGTATCCTGTGAGAAAGGTACTGGGGGCTTCATTTTAGAGGTGAAGCAATGGAGGCTCAGAAAGGCTGAGCTGCCTGCAGCTGGTGAGTAATACAGCAGGATTCTGGCCTAGGGCTGCTTATGCCAAACCTGGCTTTTTCTACTGTCCTCACTCCATAAGAATTGCATCTATCCTTTGACACTCCCCACAAATGCCATCACTTCCAAAAGAGCTGTTCTGATTCTCTCCTGGTCTGATACCATCTCCCATGCATGCTGTTTTTGTCTTTTGTCAGTAGTAGTACACTTAGAAATCAGGGTCTGTGTGGGTAGCTCTGCCCATGAGACAGGCTTGAGAGAGTGCCTACCTCTCAACTGAATTCCTATAAATTTGCTATTTGGCCATATTGTTTTAATTATTTCTTTTCTATACTTTAGTCCAAGTAGACTCTAAAAGCCTTTCTCTATACCCAGAGATCAGCCATATGAACTAATTCCCTTCTGGTCCAAATTTGTTTCCCTTCAGCAAAATGATCCTCATCCCAGCAACCTTTTAGTCTGGACCTATGAAGTCCGAAGTGCTTCTGTACTCTTTTGCTATCTTGCTGTAGAGTCACAAACATATCAACCTCTAAAACCATTTTTCATTGAGCAGGCCTTGCTCTCTTTTTGCATAGGAAGGGACCCAAGAAGAAGGGAATATACACTTACTGGAAACTATAGACCCAGCACAATATTTAGTTATGAATAATACAGAGAAGGAAACTTGGAACTTGTTTTCAAGAAATTTAGTTGGTTCCAGGCACCAAGCACTGAACTAAATGCTTTATTAACATGATCTAATCCATTCCCTGGGGGCTGCTGGAGATGTTGGCTGACTGCATTTACCTTCCGGATCTCTCATCCTAGGTTTTCATACTCTGCACACCATCCTCGGGGTCCACTGTCTCCCTTTGCATAACCTGCTGCATTGCATTGACAGTGGAGTGTTGCTTCTCACTGAAACAGCAGTGACAAGGCTCATGAAAGGTAAGAGGCCCTGAGTTTGTCAGAGTGTCAGTTCCAGTCTGTGTACCACCAAGGCTAGCTTCTTGGGTATGCGATTGCAGTCACAAAGAGCCCTACTGCACTCAGAAGAATCTCCTTCTCAGTTTAATGCTGTATTACATCTTGAAATTCTTAGTAATATTTGAACAAGGTCTTGCTCATGTTTATTTTGTGCTGAGCCTCACAGATTATACAAGCTGGTCCTGTGAGCACAATCCATTCCCTGCAATCATCCTTTGGCCCAATTTAAAGTGTCTTAGCCCTTCAAGAGGTCCCAAGGGACTTTTCAATCAACATACAACTATTAGATTCCTTTTCTGTGCAAGAGGGCACTTGAGGCTAGGAGCCTCCGCAGGTTCATTTCTCAAGAAAATGTCATGAAATGGGTTACTTTCAGCTGATTAACTCTGTCATCTCAAGGTTAGACTAGAAATGCAAGAAAATTGTCGAGAAAAGCAATGCTTATATGAATTTGAACTTTAAGTTACAGAGTGCTTCTGTTTGTGTAAGTTCAAAAGCATAACATATAAATTCTGTAGGGATACCAAGGCTCTTCCCACTTCAGAGAGACAGCCTGGGAGAAGATTGGATTTGCATTTTGTACCTCTATGTACTGTTTGCATTTTTTGGTCATCAGTATAAATTGCTTTTATTGAACATATTACCGAAACTTTTCAAACAGTGGTATAGAAATATATCTGCTAACATGGAAAGACATTCAGAATATACTGCTAAGAATGTTTTTTTTAAGAGCTGGGGTATCTTGCTATGTTGCCCAGGCTGGACTCAAATTTCTGGGCTTATGCTATGCATGACAGCTTGAGCTATCAACCTCAGCCTCCCAAGTAGCTAGGACTATAGGCACCTGCTACTGTGCCTGGCTAGAATGTTTTTTAAGCTGGAAAGCACATATATACAGTGAAAAAGATCTGGAAGGATATACATCAAGGTGCTGCAGGCAGGTCTCTCTAGGTAGGATTGTGATATCTTCTTTCCACCATGTGCTTTTTCTGTAATAGTCAGGGATATGTTTTTCTTAAAATAGCAAGAATAACAACAACAATAACGATAAGTATAGAAAAAGAAAGCTTTTTAGAGAAGGAAAAGAAAGAATTCAGCAGCAAAACAAATCTACAGATAAGTGAAGGCAAAGCAAAGCTAGCCAGAAACTGGGAAGAGTAGGGGAGACTGCAAAGAATATACCTGCCTGCACTATACATCTAGATAAAGAGAAACCAAAACCAGAAGTCCTGGATATGGCCTCCCAAAAAAGAAAAGAAAAAAAAAGTTCTGTAGTATAATCATTCAAATTATTCAATTATTATATTTTCAGATGATTTTTCTTAATATATGAAAGCATTTGTCATTCCTCAAGGTACCTTCTGTTGTTAGTCAATAAAATTGCTTTGCACCTGGCAGCCTGTTATAGAAAAATCTATTTTTCTTCAGAGAGTCACAGAGTAAAATTTCCAAAATGTTGTTAGATTAGCTTGAGGCTACAAAGTTGGGATATATATTGTGTCAAGATGAACCACTCAAGTATTAATGTTAACTTGCTGAAGTATCAAAATGGGTATTTGTTTAATTTGCCAATCTCTAACTTTCTTGTAGATCTGGACAATACAGAGAAAAATGAAAAACTGAAATTCAGTATCATTGTGCGGCTTCCTCCGGTAATCCTGAATTACTAAATTTTAGTTTTTCCCTAAGCTTTGACATGACCTTCCTTCAATTCCTTCTTGCAAGAAGAGCATTTACTTACTTTAGGTTAAAATCAATTGAATCGTTTCACTTTTCAATGCTTCCAAGGAATCCCACCCGTCCCCAGCACTCTGTCAGCTGGTTCCCACTGGGCCTACAAAGCACTTGCTCCTCTGGCTCTGCACTGCCTTGGCACAGTCCAGTGAGAACATTAAGCCATTTTCGCTTCTTAGGAAACCACACAATATTTACATCTGAGTCTGAGAGGAGGGAGAGGGGAAACATGCTGTTGGCATTTAAACAGATACATTTGAATACAGGTGAGGAAAGAAGGTTCTAGAACTGTATATCCCCTTACTGCATTTCTACCATAGTAGAAAAACATTCCTAGGTCAAAGGAAGAATGAGAAACACAAGGGAAAGAGTTTTAAAGGGAATATTGACTCTCAGAGTCAGAGATACTATGAAAATATGAAATTCCACAGCAAGGTCTTCCAAGCCTCTAACTGCAAATTTCCTGACCTGAATAGCCTCAGCCAGCTCCATCTGCTGTTTACACGCCTTGCTCATTCGCACCTCTGGCGCCGTCCTCTCACCATGGAGATCTTGTTGCCTTTCTGAACCTAATCACGCTGCTCTGTAATAGCCCTTCCCCCTCACAGGCTTACTGAAGCAAAGGCAAGAATAGAAAACAAAGCATATTTTCCATAGCTAGATCTCTCTGGGGAACATTGCTGAATATTTAGTTTGGTCTCCCAATTTGATTATTTCCCCAACACTCCTAGGGAAGTGAAATTTTCTAGGCAAGACAATGGCAGAGAAGTTGATATAAACATGCCTCCACCCTTTAGTTTCCTGTGAAAACATCATGGAGTTGCATGCCCATCTCCGGTTTTGAAGAGCAGTGGACAAACCCCATTTCAGTAAAAGGGTTTGGCAGCATCAGTGTATAAACCACTTTCCTCATTGTAGCATTTGAGGGAGTATTTGCTCCTAGAAACTTCATAGGAACATGGCATTTCTCCAAGGGTCCTTAAGTGCCTTTTAGACTAACCAGTTACTTTGGAATAATACTTTCAAAATTATGAATAGATACAAGGTATGCTTACTTAATGCAGTATTCAGTATATTCTCTACATATTTTTCAATTTGCATAATAGCTTATTGGTCAGAAGATTTGTAGACTTTGGGATCATCCTATGAGTTCTAACATCATTTCACGGAACCATGTGATGCAACTGCTTCAGAACTATAAGAAACGGGTGAGTTTCTCTGAAAGCATGGCCAACTAAATGTTTTTTAGGATCCTATTTGCCCGTGACAACATACCTATATGGACAAAAATAATTCTTACACTTTATTATAAAACTGTGCTTATTGTGGAGAACGAGCTTAAACCAGAAGTGGTTTCCCTTTTAGCCTCGGAATTCTATGATTGACAAGTCATCGTTCAGTGTAGAATTTCTGCCTCTGAACTACTTCATTGAAATTCTAACAGATATAGAGTCCACTAATCAAGGTAATTTACTCCACTGTTCTCAGGGTCCTCCCACTTTTCTCTTGACATCAGTCCTTCCTTATTCACTTCTGTGAACTGTTTTCTTTCCAAAATCCTTTTAACATACATGTAGGTCCTTATAGCAATTGGTTTACATTAGCAGCACACAGTTTACTACCTAAATTACCAAATAATCACTTCTGAAGTTTTAAAAGAGTTAAGAGGTTTAAAGCCCATTTGGGTGATACACATGTTCTTGGTGCTGAAATTTAATTGTAAGAACACATTCTCAAAAAAAATCATTTTACTAAAATATAATTAAGATTTTAATGAGCTGTGAGTACAAAGTTATAAATGTTTCATGGCTCAGTAGTAACCCTTTTTCCCTGCCCCCTCCCTATTTTTTTTCCAGCCCTATATCCTTTTGAACAACATGACAATGTGGATGCAAAATTTGTAGAGGAAGCAGCTCTGAAACACACCACAATGCTTTTAGGCTTATGAAAAAGAAAACCGCAGTTGGATCTGCTCCTGCTATTTAATCTTGCTCATTAACCTTATTCCTATAGAGAATTCTTTAGCAATATTTAAAATTGGTAACAAAAACAAGAAATTATTTAGCCATCTGATTTTCAGTTTGGAACGTGGTACAGCAGTTACAGTTCTGTCTCAACAAGTACCAATTTTGAATAGCCACTGTGCAATCAAGTGTAGAGAAATGATAAATGACCTAAGCAGACATACAGTGGCATCAATGATGCTCTTCCTAGTAGCTTAAGAGGCTACACTGAAATTGTAGCAAATTCTGTTGCACTCTGAAATAAAATATGCTTTAAAAATGTAGGGCACAGTGCTTAGAAAAGCAAAAGCTAGGTGTGTCATTGAAATAATAAGCAGAAAAATTAAATGCTGTGTAAGAACACTATTTGGAAAGAGGTTCCTTTTAAAAACTGAATTTGTACTAAATAAATTTGCCATGTCCAGCACAGAATTATTTGTATGTAGTATTTACAGCAGGGTTTGTCTTTGTGTATTCAGATGAAATGTATTTAATTTTTTTATATTTATAAAAGTTTGATTTATGAATATTTTGTCATTAAAAAACCTGAAAACAAAGTTTTGGCCTGACTTTCCTTGTTTTTTGAATGTAGTCTTTTTATGAAAGCCAAGAATCATGAATCAATGAACACTTTTTTTTTTTTCTTCTCTATAGTGATTTCATTCTGACCCATAAAATATAGTTGCAGCCCAAGGTCAGCCCACAACCCTTTGCTTTTCTGTCTTCAGACTGAACTCGAGATTTTAATGATTATAGATATCATTAGCTGGTATGATCATTCAACTTTCTGTGTAAAATCAATCATCATTGTGTTCTAAAAATTGTCCTCTCTTACAGAATTACTCCCCCCCTCTTTTTTTTTTTTTTTTGAGACAGAGTCTTGCTCTGTCGACAGGCTGGAGTGCAGTGGTGCAATCTTGGCTCACTGCAACCTCTGCCTCCCGGGTTCAAGCAATTCTCCTGCCTCAGCCTCCTGAGTAGCTGGGACTACAGGGTTGCGCTACTATACCCAGCTAATTTTTGTATTTTTAGTAGAGACGGAGTTTCACCATGTTGGCCAGGATGGTCTCAATCCCTTGACCTCGTGATCCGCCTGCCTCGGCCTCCCAAAGTACTGGGATTACAGGCGTGAGCCACCACACCTGGCCATAGAATTACCCTTTTTGGTCAAATACTTCATGGCCATCAATACTCAAAATCTTGGAGCCAAATCAATGCAATGCTGATTCTCTCTCTCGATAAGGTCATTATCTTTCAATCCCTGCTTTCACTCATTTTTTTTTTTTTTTTTGAGACAGAGTCTCGTTCTGTTGCCAGGTGCCAGGCTGGAGTGCAGTGGCGCAATCTCTGCTCACTGCAACCTCCACCTCCCAGGTTCAAGCAATTCTCCTGCCTCAGCCTCCCAAGCAGCTGGGACTACAGACGAGCACCACCACGCCCAGCTAATTTTTTATATTTTTAGTAGAGATGGGGTTTCACTATGTTGGCCAGGATGGTCTCAATCTCTTGACCTCGTGATCTGCCCACCTCGGCCTCCCAAAGTGCTGGGATTACAGGCATGAGCCACCATGCCCGGCCTCATTCATTTCTTTGCATACCTGGATTGTTTCAGTTGCTCCCTAAGGTCTAAATTTATCTGAAACATACTTGAGATAAACACAAGTTTGATCTGGTCACTCTGCTCATAATCCTTTAATAACTGCCACTCATTATAGGATAAAATTCAAACTCCTTGACATTAGCAGTTCACTATTCACTACCTAGAGTAAATTACCAGATAATCACCTCTGAAGTCCCAAATTCCTGCCCTGTACAATATGAAAATTTTCTTTCAGCCAGGCCAGTTATCTGGGCCTTGAACACAATTCTTGTCTTAGTTCCAAGCCTTGGTTATGTTATTTCCCACCTAAAACCTGGATTCCCTCTTGTCTGTCAAAATCTTATTCACGCTTAAGGGTCAGATAAACAGTTCTGACTGTCATCCAGGCCATTCTAGCATATGGTGCCATCTTCCTTCTGAGCCAGTAGTATGCATTATAATATTTATGCATCCCTCCCTTTGTGATATTTTTCCATTCTAAGGTTGTTCAAACTTGCTATGTGTGTATTTTTGAATCCCTAATGAGGTTACTAATTCCTACAGTATAGCAACTGTGTTTAATTATGCAGTATTATTATCAAAGGCATTCCCAAGTAATTGCTTTATAATGACTCACCAAGCAATCAGGTTAGATTTAGGACTGATAGAGTTTTGAATCTGGCAGGATTGGGACTTGGAGCAGATGTTTAGTAAAATAAAGGGATAGAATATTTCTCACTCGCAGAGTTGGGAAATAAAATTCCTAACAGCTACCAGTAGGAAATAAAGATACTTTGACCCCCTTCCCTCCAGAAACATCCCTGGTCTGGCTAAATAGGCAGCGATGTCATGGGCTTGAGAAATAGTCCTGTGCCCACCCCTGGCAAATATACCCCCAAGCCAGCTGAGCAGCTGTGTGCCCAAGAACTGGACCTGAGAAATAGCCCCATGGGCTACCTCTAATACACATGATCCCAGGCTAGCTGAGCAGCCTTGCACCCACATCCTGGGCTTGAGAAGGAGCTCAATGGTTTGTCCCCAGGTGGGCTGAGGAGCTATGTGCCTGTGTCCTGAGCCAGAGAAACAGTCCCGTGGAAGCACCCTCAGCAGACACATACCCAGGCCAGCTGAGATGCTGTGTGACCATGTCCCAGGCCTGAGAAACTGCCCTAGGAGTTGGCCCTACCCAACATGCCTCCAGGCCAGCTGAGCAGCTGTGGGTCTGCATACCATGCCTGAAAAACAGCCCCATGGGCTACCCCTTGTAGGCACACATCCAGGCCTGCCAGGCAGACTTGCACCTGTGCCCTAGGCCTTATAAACAGCCCTGTGGGCCACTCTCAGCAAATGTGCCCCCAGGCCAGCTACATAGCCTTGTGCCTGCATTCTAGGTCTGAGAAACAGCCCCATGGGCTGCCCCTGGCAGACACATCTCTTGGCTGACTGAACAACCACATGCCCATGTTCCTAGCCTAAGTAAAAGCTCTGTGGCTCCAACTCCAGCAAGCCAGACTCCAAGTTGGCTAATACACTATGTGCATGCACCTGGCCTCAACTTGCAAAATAGCCTGGTGAGCCCACTCCAATTGCCACAAACTCTCTCAGCCTAGGCTCCCGAGAAACATCACTAATGTGGATTGCAGCTGAAGAAACGTTACAGATAGTACACTACTCCATCCAGCTGGAACTAAGGCAAATGCGCTCCACTGAATTGACACCCCACAACTCATTCATACAAATAAGTCTTTCCCTATGAAACCTATTCCATAAAATTTCTATGCATCTGATAGAAGAGCTGACTTTTCTACCACAAGCATAGAAATCAATGTAGGGACATATCAAACAGGAAAAAGCAAGGAAACATGACACCTTCAAAGGAAAACAATTCTCCAGTAACCGATCCCAATTATAACAAAATATAGGAAATGCCAAAAAAAATTAAAATAATAATCCTAAGGAAACTCAGCTTCAAGAGAATACAGATAGATAATTCAGCAAAATCAGGAAAACAATTCATGATTTGAGAAATACAACTAAGAGGTATAGAATCAAACACGTCCTGCAGCTGAAGGATTCAATGAATGAAATAAAGATGCAATTGAGAGCTGTAACAACAGACTAAGCCAAGCAGAAGAAAGAATTAAAGAATTTCTAAACTTCAAGACAAGTATTTTGAAATAATACAGGCAGACAAAAAAGAATGAATAAAGGCTATAGGATTTACAGAATACCATTAAGTGAACAAATAGTCATTTTATTTTTTTTTACAGGAAAAAAAATAAAAACATGCAAAACCAGCAATCTCATCAGTAGAGCCAAAACACAGAAAAGAAAAAGGAATCAAACCTTATTACTATAGAAAACCACCTACCCACAAAAGTAAATAAGAGGAAGTAAGGGACAGAGGATATACAAAACAACCAGAAAACAATCAATAAAATGACAGGAGTAAGTCCTCACCTGTCAATAATAACCTAGAATATAAATGGATTAAATCATCCATTTAAAATATACAGACTCAGTGGGTGGATCATGGCGGCCAGGATGCAGGACTAGATTGCAGCTATGGAAGAGCAGCATGAGGAGGTATGCACTGTGAGTTTTAGCTCCAGATTGACTGTAAGAACAGACCAGCAATCCTGAGGCCCTCAGAAGGAAGCAGACTGCTCCTGCAGGACCCAAGAGACACTGCAAATACCGTGAGTGCCTCAACCTCAGAAGTGGGAAAGGGAGACCCTTCTCTCCTGGACACCCCCTTCCCCGCACTGGAGAAGCTGAAGGTCTGTTTGTGGAAGTTCCTGACCTTACCTGGAACTGAGTCAAGTTAGAGGGCTGAACCAAGCGAAATACAGGGATAGAGGAAGAAGCAGAAAGGCACTGGGGGCACACTGGATCCCCAAGCAGCCCATTCCTGCCTGGCACCACAGGGTTCCATCAGGAGGGAAGCCAGAGGAGCAGGGGGTAAGACTCCACAGGGTGAAGGACTTCTCTAGCTGAACTTTGTAACAATTTGAACGGGGCCAGAAGCCTCCTTGCCAGAACTCAGGGGAGGGCGTGAATACGGCTTGCAGACTTCACAGGCAGGAAAAGAACTAAAGCCCTTTTCTTTTGCAGCTGGGAGGCCGAAAGCCTTGGTCAAGTCTTCAAGCCTGACTCGCCCACCACCTGGAAACAGACTTGGGGCTGTTGGGGGGGGGTATGGTGGGAGTGAGAGTGACCTTTTGCTTTGTGAGGGAGCTGGGTGAGGCCAATGACTACCAACTTTCCCTCACTTCCCTGACAACCTGCATCACTCAGCAGAGGCAGCCATAATCCTTCTAGGTACACAATTCCAGTGACATAGGAATCTCACCCCCTCCACCACAACCAAGACCCACCCAAGCAGAGTCTGAGCTCAGACACACCTAGCCCCACCCCCACCTGATGGTCCTTCCCTAACCACCCTGGTAGTGGAAGACAAAGGACATATAATCTTGGGAGTTGTAGGGCCATGGCCACTGCCACTGCCAGTTCCTCTCCACACTACTATAGCTGATGCTTTCTGAAAAGTGCCACCTCATGGCAAGAGGCCAACCAGCACAAAAATAGAGCATTAAACCACCAAACCTAAGGACACCCCAGAGTCTATTGTACCCTCTGCCACCTCCACCAGAACAAGTGGCAGTATCCATGGCTGAGAGACCCATAGACAGTTCACATCACAGGACTCTGTGCAGAAATCCCCAGTACCAGCCCAGATCCAGGTAGACTGACTAGGTGGCTAGACCCAGAAGAGAGACAACAATCACTGCAGATAGGCTCACAGGAGGCCACATCCATAGGAAAAGGGGGAGAGTACTACATCAAGGGAACACCCTGAGGGACAAAAAAATTTGAACAATAGCCTTGAGCCCTAGAACTTCCCTCTGACAGAGCCTACCCAAATAAGAAGGAACTAAAAAAACAACCCTGGTAATATGACAAAACAAGGCTTGTC